AGATCCCCAGACCCGGAACGCCGACGCATCGCCCACCTTCCCGGTCCACAGCAAGGCTGGGGAGGTCTCCGGCCTGGAGACCCTGGGGTGAAGGTTGATCTGACGTGCCGCGTACCTCACCGCAAACGGCCACAGAAAATGGGGGGCAGCCGCATGCATCATAGACATACGAGCGACGTCCATGACCATGCCAATGCCGCGCTCAGCAATCCCATTTTGCTGCGGAGAGTCCGGGAGCGTGAAGGTCTGACGGATGCCTCGTGCACGACAGTAGGCTCGCAGAAGGCCAGAGGAGAACTCTCCGCCTCTGTCCGAGTGCAGACGCAGAACAGGAAAGTCGGAGCCAAAGCTCTGCCTGAGCTGGAGACGAGCTGCGCGGATCCAGTCGATCAGCACCTCAGTGACATCACCCTTGCCGCGCAAGGGGAAGACTGCGGTGTAACGCGAGTAGTCGTCAACAACGAGCAGGAAGTAGCGCTCGTGACCCTGCCCACGGACGCGGGCTGGGCCCCACACGTCCATGTGGAGCGTCTGCAACGGGGCCTCTGTCGGAGGAAACTGGGAGGAGTGAGGGGCAGCACGCTGGCGCCCCTCGACACAGGGGACACAGGTAGGGCCAGGGCCCTGAGGAAGGGGAGGGAGGGACCGGGGGAGACCAGACACTAGAAGACGGGAGGCCATGCCTCTGAGCCGAAGCAGAGAGGGGTGACCAAGACGGTGGTGCCAGAGAAGAGTCTCGTGAGACAGGAGACGACAAGAACAGGGGGCAGACTCAGGACCAGACCTGGACGCAGCAGCAAACACCTGACCCGACGAAGCGACTCTACCAGACTCAGTAACGGGAGGAGACGCAGTGGTCAGTGTGTACAGGCTCGACCCCGGCTGACGGGTAAACGTAGCCAGGTGTCGGCCTGTGCGAGCCTCTGTACAGTGCGTCACCCGCTGACGCGCAGGAGTGAACTGGTGTACACCCGCATCCTGTAGGTCAGCACCACTCACCAGGTTCGTAGAGAACGAGGGGAGGTAGAGACCAGACAGGGTGCCAGAGGGAGCCGCCGGACACGGGAGGACTGTGGAGAAGCGAGACAGGACAGGACCCCCAGAGGGGTCAGCCAGAGACACTGCAACCGGTCGACTCAGCGGTGTGAGTGTGGTGCGGTCCCTAAAGAAGGAGCGAGACGCCCCAGAGTCAAGGGTGAAGGTGAGGGAGGCCGAAGCCGACGTAGTACCTGAGAGCGCAGACTCACCAGTACCTGAGGACGCAGACACACGAGCACCTAGGGCAGCAGCGTCGCAAGCACCTAGGGCAGCAGCCTCACCAGGACCTAGAGCAGCAGTCTCAATACCCGGATCGGGCGGGAAACACCGGTAACAGTCACCCTCATCACTAATAGACACAGCATACATGGCAGAGAGAATAGCATCAAAGTCAAGATCATAGATGGCAACACCCGCCCTGGACAGGTCACCCCAACGAGGGATCTCTGAGGCCTCCGGGAACTGGTGACGCCACGCGTCCGTCAGGCGGCCAAAGCAGCGCTGAGTGGGGTGGGGACCCCCACACTGCTCACCCGCACGGTCGCCGGTGCGCAAAACGTAGGAGCACGGACCAAAACCCCCACCTCGCTGACGCGCAGTGTACCACTCACGAAGCTGCTGAGGGGACAAGGTGTCACGACCACGCTGCTGCTGCTGGCGCGAGCCACCACCGGAGCCACTCCTCTGCGAAGACCCGCGACCAGCACCACCTCCACCCCCGCCGCCTCCTCCGCCTCCGCCGCCTCCGCTACTGCCGCCGCCTCCACCTCCGCCTCCGCCGCCGCCACCTCCGCCACCCCCGCTCCCACTGCCACCGCCGCCGACACCTCCTCCTCCACTGCCGCCACCGACTCCTCCACCCCCACCTCCACTCCCACCGCCACCCCCACTCCCCCCACTGCCGCCACCTCCACCTCCACCGCCCCCGCTCGCTCCTCCAGCGCCCTTGCCCCCCTTGCCCTTGCCAGAGCGGCGTCTCCCACTAGGGGCAGACGCCACACCGACCGACTCAAGACCAAGGAGGTCGGCCGCAGCAGCAGAGGCAACAGAGGGCAGAAGGGGGGAGGGGGAACACCCCTCAAAGATGGGGGTGCGCGGGTCACCACGAGAGGCCCCTACAGCGACTATGCTCTTCTCGGCCGCTAGGAGGGACTTCTCGAGGAGGTCAACAGTGAGAGTGGTGGGACAGACAGAGAGAAAGTGGTCCCTGACTACGCGAAGGGAGTCAGGAAGGCGAGTGACTATGTAGTAAAGAGTGATGTACATGGGGGGGGGGTTCTTGGCGCAGAAGTCAGCAGGGAGTGCAGCGCGGTAGCGAGTGTCACTAGTGCGGAGGTGCGTAATGAGGTCAGCGACTGTGGGAAAGGCAGCAAGGTCAGGAAAGAGGTACGGTAGCATGAGACGGCTCAGTGCAGCAGTGGCAGGGGAGGAGTAGCGCGCAACTACAGCGTCGTACAAGGTCTGAGCACTCTTGTACTGACTAAAGTGTGCACGCTCGGAGGTAGGGAGGTGGCGACGCACAGCAAGACGTGCAGCAGCGTCGCGCGTGGCCCACTGGGAGCGAACAGTGGCGTCGGCGTCAGCAGCAGGGGCAGTGGAGGCGCCAGAGGTGAGGTCAAAGAGAGAGAGACCATCTGCCCTATCGCACTGTAAGAACAGCTGCAGGTCATCCACCCAGACCTCAAAGTCAATGGCCCGACCCTCAGCGTCAAAGACTAGAACACTAGGGGTAGCCATGACCCTAGACGACTGGCAGCGCAAACAGTAGGGTGAGGGCAGTGCAGTGAAAGGGCGCTGTGCTCACCAGACTGGACAGGTTGGGCGGCCCGGAAGGAGGGCGGCGCGGCGGCTCGGCGGCTCGGCTGCCGGGCGGCTCGGCGGTTCGGCGGCTCCGCTGCTGGGCGGCACGGCTGCTGGGCGGCTCGGCTGCTGGGCGGCTCGGCTGTTGAGCGGCTCGGCTGCTGGGCGGCTCGGCTGCTCTGCTGTCGGGCGGCTCGGTTGTGCTGCTGAGGGGCAGCACGGCTCGGGCTGCTCGGGCGGTGCGGGCGGCTCGGGCGGCTCGGGCGGCTCAGCTCCTCAGCGGCACAGGCGGCGTGGGGACCGAGACGGCGGCGCGCGGCTGGGACGGGCGGCGCACGGGCGGCGTGGGGCCGGGACTGCGGTGCGCGGCCGGGACGGGCGGCTCACGGGCGGCGTGGGGCCGGGACGGGCGGCGCGCGGGCGTCGAGGGGCCGGGACGGGCGGCGCGCGGGCGTCGAGGGGCCGGGACGGGCGGCGCGCGGGCGTCTAGGGGTCGGGCCGGGTGGCGCGCGGGCGTCTAGGGGCCGGGACGGGCGGCGCGTGGGCGTCGAGGGGCCGGGACGGGCGGCGCGCGGGCGTCTAGGGGCCGGGACGGGCGGCGCGCGGGCGTCTAGGGGCCGGGACGGGCGGCTCACGGGCGGCGAGGGGCCGGGACGGGCGGCGCGCGGGCGTCGAGGGGCCGGGACGGGCGGCGCGCGGGCGTCGAGGGGCCGGGACGGGCGGCGCGCGGGCGTCTAGGGGCCGGGACGGGCGGCGCGCGGGCGTCTAGGGGCCGGGACGGGCGGCGCGCGGGCGTCTAGGGGCCGGGCCGGGTGGCGCACGGGCGTCTAGGGGCCGGGACGGGCGGCGCGCGGGCGTCTAAGGGGCCGGGACGGGCGGCGCGCGGGCGTCTAAGGGCCGTGACGGGCGGCTAAAGGGGCCACTAGGGGCCAAGAGAGAGGGGAGCGCGACTCGGGTAGGGGCAGAGTGCGCTCCGGGCAGGAAAAAAAAACGGTGGGCCCTAGGAACAGTTCCCACGAGGGAACCTGCTCGATACCATGAGAAGAATGAAGAACGAGGATGAATGAACTATGAATGAGGTGAGTACATATAGGAAACCCTAATTGGGTTGTACCCCCTATGGGATACCCCACTATAGCCTACACAACAGCATGAGCTATATAATGTTCTGACAACTGTAGCAATGCAATTCAGTTAATAAGGGAATGTACCCCTCAGAGTACATGGCTAGCTAGGATTGCTATTTATATCCTTGTACTTTTATCTTATAATCATCTTGTTCTCCAATTCTCAACAAGATCATTACAGGGACATACAGTTCTCTCCCATCACACTTGGCAACTTTATCCTATTCACTTCGATCTTCACTTATAACAACAGTCCATATGCTGCCTAACCGTACGCGACCCTTCGCGTCACTTCGAGTTTTCGCCTTCGTACTCTTCATTTAATTCTTCGCTTGCTACCGATAGGAGTGCAAAGTACTTCGTAATTTACTATTCGTAACATTAGTAACGTGCATGCATGCTGGTAGTATAATGTCACTGCTTGAATTTCAATTGTACCGTACTAGGCCATTTGAAATGAGAAACTGTCAATACGTAGCATTTGAAATGAGTGCCAATTGCTACATGCAAGAAAAGCTTTCTAAGGAATGTCTGGAAAATAGTCTCCATTCCCAGAAGGGCTTTGGGTGCTTCCCGCAACTACCTTGCTCACGTTTGCTCGCAACTACCATGCCAACCAGCATCACACACGGCGACGAGGATGGCAGCTAGGTGAGCCAAGCCACGAGCAGTCTCAGAGAATGACAACTGAGCCTCTTTATCTATTACGAAAAGTTGTGTTTCAAGCTATGTATATTCCTCCACAATGCGCGAGGCTCGGTGCCGTTCCGCGTTGCGTGTGAGTGGCGGGAGGTAGATCCGATCAGCGCGAGTGCAATCATAGCCATCGCGCGCCGCAGCATTCCGTCGGAGTCCGTCATCGTCGGGAAGGCGACCCTCGCGTGGGCCGCTGGACGAGCGACCGCCAGCCAGATAAGGCGCGCCGAGCTGCCAGCCGGATAAGGCGCGCCGAGCTGCCGGGCCGCGCAGCGTGGAGCGCCCGCCCCTGTCGCCCGCTTCGACACTCCCAGGCGCCACGCGAGGCGGCGAGGCGCCATGGATCGCGGCGGCGGGCCGACGCGAGTGCTGCGCGCGCAGCAGCCGCTGCAGCACTCGCTGGTGCTGACGGTCAGCGTCATCATGACGGCGTGCCTCGCGCTCATGGTGAGACGAAACGATACGATGGCGGTGAGATAGAAGGAGCTTGCGTGAGTGAACGATGGTGATGCGCGCAGATGTTCATGGTGTGGCATGGCTTGAAGGAAACAGAATGGCGTGACACGAATGTCGCATCGCATGTGAGTGTTGGTCCCGGAGTGGCCGCCATTGTGCCCCCCTGGGCGTGCGTGCGGGCTCGTTGGCATCCGTTGCAAGTTGCTCTTCCACCTCCCCCACCCACCCTCGCACCCTCGCACCACGCGTGCATGGGCACATACGCAATCGTGCACGTACGAGTCCTGCTGCCGTCGCCACTGCTGCCGTCGCCACTGCTGCCGTCGCCACTGCTGCCGTCGCCACTGCTGCCATCGCCACTGCTGCCATCGCCACTGCTGCCATCGCCACTGCTGCCATCGCCACTGCTGCCATCGCCACTGCTGCCATCGCCACTGCTGCCGTCGCCACTGCTGCCGTCGCCACTGCTGCCGTCGCCACTGCTGCCATCGCCACTGCTGCCATCGCCACTGCTGCCATCGCCACTGCTGCCATCGCCACTGCTGCCATCGCCACTGCTGCCATCGCCACTGCTGCCATCGCCACTGCTGCCATCGCCACTGCTGCCATCGCCACTGCTGCCATCGCCACTGCTGCCATCGCCACTGCTGCCATCGCCACTGCTGCCATCGCCACTGCTGCCATCGCCACTGCTGCCATCGCCACTGCTGCCATCGCCACTGCTGCCATCGCCGCTGCTGCCGTCGCCGCTGCTGCCGTCGCCACTGCTGCCGTCGCCACTGCTGCCATCGCCACTGCTGCCATCGCCACTGCTGCCATCGCCACTGCTGCCATCGCCACTGCTGCCATCGCCACTGCTGCCATCGCCACTGCTGCCGTCGCCACTGCTGCCGTCGCCACTGCTGCCATCGCCACTGCTGCCATCGCCACTGCTGCCATCGCCACTGCTGCCATCGCCACTGCTGCCATCACCACTGCTGCCATCGCCACTGCTGCCATCGCCACTGCTGCCATCGCCACTGCTGCCATCGCCACTGCTGCCATCGCCACTGCTGCCATCGCCACTGCTGCCATCGCCACTGCTGCCATCGCCACTGCTGCCATCGCCACTGCTGCCATCGCCACTGCTGCCATCGCCACTGCTGCCATCGCCACTGCTGCCATCGCCACTGCTGCCATCGCCACTGCTGCCATCGCCACTGCTGCCATCGCCACTGCTGCCATCGCCACTGCTGCCGTCGCCACTGCTGCCATCGCCACTGCTGCCATCGCCACTGCTGCCATCGCCACTGCTGCCATCGCCACTGCTGCCATCGCCACTGCTGCCATCGCCACTGCTGCCATCGCCACTGCTGCCATCGCCACTGCTGCCATCGCCACTGCTGCCATCGCCACTGCTGCCATCGCCACTGCTGCCATCGCCACTGCTGCCATCGCCACTGCTGCCATCGCCACTGCTGCCGTCGCCACTGCTGCCGTCGCCACTGCTGCCGTCGCCACTGCTGCCGTCGCCACTGCTGCCGTCGCCACTGCTGCCGTCGCCACTGCTGCCGTCGCCACTGCTGCCGTCGCCACTGCTGCCATCGCCACTGCTGCCATCGCCACTGCTGCCATCGCCACTGCTGCCATCGCCACTGCTGCCATCGCCACTGCTGCCATCGCCACTGCTGCCATCGCCACTGCTGCCATCGCCACTGCTGCCATCGCCACTGCTGCCATCGCCACTGCTGCCATCGCCACTGCTGCCATCGCCACTGCTGCCATCGCCACTGCTGCCATCGCCACTGCTGCCATCGCCACTGCTGCCATCGCCACTGCTGCCATCGCCACTGCTGCCATCGCCACTGCTGCCATCGCCACTGCTGCCATCGCCACTGCTGCCATCGCCACTGCTGCCATCGCCACTGCTGCCATCGCCACTGCTGCCATCGCCACTGCTGCCATCGCCACTGCTGCCATCGCCACTGCTGCCATCGCCACTGCTGCCATCGCCACTGCTGCCATCGCCACTGCTGCCATCGCCACTGCTGCCATCGCTGCAGCCGCTGCTCCCACCGCTTCCGCACTCCCATCGCCCTTCCCTCCCCCCATCGCCCACTCGACCCCCCTTTCCGTCCCCTCCCGCCCCCCATGGTGGGCAGTACATGCTCGTGTCGCGCCACCTCGCCAGCATGGACCAGATCGCCCTCGCGCTCACTGAGAGGTACTGCCCGCCTCTCACTCACACTCCCTCCCTCTCACACTCACTCTCTCCCTCTCACACTCACTCTCCCTCTCACACTCACTCTCTCCCCCATCACACTCACTCTCTCCCTCTCACACTCACACTCACATTCTCTCACTCACACTTCCACACTCCTAGACTCCTACATTCTCACGCTCTCAAGCTCTCATTCGCTCCTTCCATTGGCCACCCACTCTCCCCGCGCGCTGCCCTCCCAGCGGTGGCGCATCGCAGCATGCGCCTGCCATGCATCGCAGCATGCGCCTGCCACACGACGTGCTGCCCTCTTCCCCCATTGCCCTCCCATGGCCTCTCTTCCCCCATTGCCCTCCCATGGCCTCTCTTCCCCCATTGCCCTCCCGTGGCCTCTCTTCCCCCATTGCCCTCCCATGGCCTCTCTTCCCCCATTGCCCTCCCATGGCCTCTCTTCCCCCATTGCCCTCCCATGCCCCCTCTTCCCCCATTGCCCTCCCATGCCCTCTCTTCCCCCATTGCCCTCCCGTGGCCTCTCTTCCCCCATTGCCCTCCCGTGGCCTCTCTTCCCCCATTGCCCTCCCATGGCCTCTCGTCCCCCATTGCCCTCCCGTGGCCTCTCTTCCCCCATTGCCCTCCCATGGCCTCTCGTCCCCCATTGCCCTCCCGTGGCCTCTCTTCCCCCATTGCCCTCCCATGGCCTCTCTTCCCCCATTGCCCTCCCATGGCCTCTCTTCCCCCATTGCCCTCCCATGGCCTCTCTTCCCCCATTGCCCTCCCATGCCCTCTCTTCCCCCATTGCCCTCCCGTGGCCTCTCTTCCCCCATTGCCCTCCCATGGCCTCTCTTCCCCCATTGCCCTCCCGTGGCCTCTCTTCCCCCGTTGCCCTCCCATGGCCTCTCTTCCCCCATTGCCCTCCCATGCCCTCTCTTCCCCCATTGCCCTCCCGTGGCCTCTCTTCCCCCATTGCCCTCCCATGGCCTCTCGTCCCCCATTGCCCTCCCGTGGCCTCTCTTCCCCCATTGCCCTCCCATGGCCTCTCGTCCCCCATTGCCCTCCCGTGGCCTCTCTTCCCCCATTGCCCTCCCATGGCCTCTCGTCCCCCATTGCCCTCCCGTGGCCTCTCTTCCCCCATTGCCCTCCCATGGCCTCTCGTCCCCCATTGCCCTCCCGTGGCCTCTCTTCCCCCATTGCCCTCCCATGGCCTCTCGTCCCCCATTGCCCTCCCGTGGCCTCTCTTCCCCCATTGCCCTCCCATGGCCTCTCGTCCCCCATTGCCCTCCCGTGGCCTCTCTTCCCCCATTGCCCTCCCATGGCCTCTCTTCCCCCATTGCCCTCCCATGGCCTCTCTTCCCCCATTGCCCTCCCATGCCCTCTCTTCCCCCATTGCCCTCCCGTGGCCTCTCGTCCCCCATTGCCCTCCCGTGGCCTCTCTTCCCCCATTGCCCTCCCATGGCCTCTCTTCCCCCATTGCCCTCCCATGCCCTCTCTTCCCCCATTGCCCTCCCGTGGCCTCTCTTCCCCCATTGCCCTCCCATGGCCTCTCGTCCCCCATTGCCCTCCCATGGCCTCTCTTCCCCCATTGCCCTCCCATGGCCTCTCTTCCCCCATTGCCCTCCCATGCCCTCTCTTCCCCCATTGCCCTCCCGTGGCCTCTCTTCCCCCATTGCCCTCCCATGGCCTCTCGTCCCCCATTGCCCTCCCGTGGCCTCTCTTCCCCCATTGCCCTCCCATGGCCTCTCGTCCCCCATTGCCCTCCCATGCCCTCTCTTCCCCCATTGCCCTCCCATGGCCTCTCTTCCCCCATTGCCCTCCCATGGCCTCTCTTCCCCCATTGCCCTCCCATGGCCTCTCGTCCCCCATTGCCCTCCCGTGGCCTCTCGTCCCCCATTGCTCTCCCATGGCCTCTCGTCCCCCATTGCCCTCCCGGTACCCATGCCGTGCCCCCCCTGCCCCTCCCCTGGCAGCATATCGGAGCAGACGACGAATCAGGCGGTGGAGTTGAAGGCGCTGGTGGCGGCGCTGGAGAACCACACCTACTCCGTGGCCGCCGCTGTCACGGACCACGTGGCCGTGCAGACCGTGCAGCTGCGCCAGCTGGCAGCGGAGCTGCGCAACCATTCGCACTTTGTGAGGGAGCACGTGGGGCAGCACGTGGACCAGCAGCAGGCACAGCTGGCGGAGGTGCTGGCGGAGCTCAGGGCGCGCATGGGCGAGGTGGCGTCCGCTGTCATGGCGCCCCCCGCCCCCCCCCTCGCTGACAGCGCCATCACCACCTCCAACCTCACTCTGCTCGTTGCCGCGGGGCTGCGATCCCAGGTGGGTGCCATCCCAGGTGCGCTGTGAGGGGGTGGGACCAGTGGATGGACAGCAGAGCAGAGCAGAGGTGGCTGTGCTGCCATACCACGGTGAAGTGGGGCAGGGTGGGGATTGCCTTGGGATGTCATGGTGATCTCACCTAGACATGAGAAGGAAGTGCTCAACTCGAGCAGCGTCAAAACAGCAAACTGGCCAGACCGAACTGCTTCAATTTGGGTCAAATTGTATCTTTGAGCCGTTTTTTTTAGGTTTGACCCGAACCTGTTCGGTTCGGTTTTGTGCTCAACACGAACCAGAAACGCGTCGAACTAACTGATATTGCACTGAATCTCATGTTAGGAGAAAATTAATGTATGGTTTGGCAGTCGTGATTCGGCAGAAGCATCTCCAGAAAGATCAAATGAAATCCTTGCTTTGGAGGCTGGGATGACTTACGACGACGACTCCTGTGTGTCTCTTGTTGCACCCTGTGCGTGTGTGTGATGCACGTGGTGCACTGCTGCGCTGCCACGCGCCCATATGGGAGAGCAGAGGCGCACGGAGCAGGCGGTGGGCAAGCTCGTCACGCAAGTGGGCCGCCTGGCTGCCAGAGATGTGAGTGCTGGGCGCCAGAGATGTGAGTGCTGGGCGCCAGAGATGTGAGTGCTGGGCGCCAGAGATGTGAGTGCTGGGCGCCAGAGATGTGAGTGCTGGGCGCCAGAGATGTGAGTGCTGGGCGCCAGAGATGTGAGTGCTGGGCGCCAGAGATGTGAGTGCTGGGCGCCAGAGATGTGAGTGCTGGGCGCCAGAGATGTGAGTGCTGGGCGCCAGAGATGTGAGTGCTGGGGTGCCACGCAGGTGACACGAGATGAGTGCCGTGCCGCTCTCTCCATCACTGCATCATGCCCTGCATTCGCCATGTTGTCCCTGCATTCGCCATGTTCTCCCTGCATTCGCCATGTTCTCCCTGCATGCGCCATGTTCTCCCGTGCTCCTTAGCCCCGGTCCACCTCCGCCCCCATTCTGCTCCCACAGCGCCATAGCCCCCATACCCCCTTTGCTCCCATATCTCTGTAACCGCATAGGCCCCACTCCATGGCCTTGCACTGCTCCCCACACCCTGTCACCCACTGCCACATATCCCCCACATATTATTCAGCCCACCCCCAACTCAACCCACCCCATGCCATCCGTGCCATGCCCCTGCCTGTCCTGCCATACCATGCCGTGCCATTGCGTGCGCTGTGCTGCGGCGCGCTGGCAGGAGGAGGAGGGGGGGTTGGGCACGGAGACGCTGAGGGAGGTGGTGTCGGCCGTCAAGAAGCACATGCAGCTCTCGCGCTCGCTGCAGGTGAGTCAAAAAGCACATGCAGCTCTCGCGCTCGCTGCAGGTGAGTCAAAAAGCACATGCAGCTCTCGCGCTCGCTGCAGGTGAGTCAAAAAGCACATGCAGCTCTCGCGCTCGCTGCAGGTGAGTCAAGAAGCACATGCAGCTCTCGCGCTCGCTGCAGGTGAGTCAAGAAGCACATGCAGCTCTCGCGCTCGCTGCAGGTGCGCCGTTGCGAATGCCCCTCCTTGCCGCCTTCCCTGCCACGCCTTCCCTGCCACGCACAAATTTGAGCACACATTCGTGATCTGCCGTTGCCTCACTGTTGCGCCTTCCCTCTCTCCGCTCCTCCACCTCACGTGCGACTATCCCCCCGCTGCTCCCATCCCATCACTCCTCTCTCCTTCCCCGCATGCCTCGCCCTGTGCATGGGGCGTGGGGCGCACTGCCGGGGGGGGGTGCAGAGCGCGGTGGAGGGGCTGGCGGAGCGCGTGGACGCACAGGCGCAGCTCAAGGGGGGCGAGGCCAGCCCGCAGGTGAGAGGGGAGATGCAGAGGTGGAGGCAGGGAGAGTGGAGGTGCGTGGCAGGGCATGGTTGACATCAGGCAGGGCATGGTTGACATCAGGCAGGGCATGGTTGACATCAGGCAGGGCATGGTTGCCATCAGGCAGGGCATGGTTGACATCAGGCAGGGCATGGTTGACATCAGGCAGGGCATGGTTGACATCAGGCAGGGCATGGTTGACATCAGGCAGGGCATGGTTGACATCAGGCAGGGCATGGTTGACATCAGGCAGGGCATGGTTGACATCAGGCAGGGCATGGTTGACATCAGGCAGGGCATGGTTGACATCAGGCCAGGCATGGTTGCCATCAGGCCCTCCTGCCTGCTGCTGTGGCACCATGCGGCGGCTCATGTGGCAGGTGGCGTGGCAGGCATAGCAAGGGCATGTGTTGTTGACTAGCTCACGCCGCTCACTCAACCCCTGCTCTCTGCACGCACATGCCTCGTCATTTTACTCTCTACCCTCCACCCTTCTCTCGCACCTCTCTTTGCTCTCACACCTGTTTCTGCTCTCACCTGCTCTGCCCACTCGCTGCACTGTCCCCCTACGTCCGTCGGTGTCCCCCATGCGCCCTGGTGTGGGCGGTCTGTGCGGGCAGGAGGAGAAGATACTGGCGGTGCTCAAGGCGCTGGTGGCGCATCTGCGCGCCAAGGAGAAGGCGGGGCTCACGGACGCCGTGCTGCAGGGGCAGGTGCGCTTCACCGGGGGGGAGGCACGTCGGTGGGGGTGGGGGAAGAGGAGGTGGGGGCAGGTGGGGGAGGGCAGGTGGGGGAGGGCAGGTGGGGGAGGGCAGGTGGGGGAGGGCAGGTGGGGGAGGGCAGGTGGGGGAGTGCAGCAAGCCAGAGAGAGGAGCAGGTGGCAAGACACGGATTATATTTTGGAGTTCTTCACATGACGTTTGGGGGATAGGTTGCGAGGGATAAGGGAGTGGAATCTGTTGTGGTTGATAGCTTTAAGATAGTTGCAAAGAACCAGAGGTGCAATTTCTCAAGTTGCTGACACCTGTCTGCCATCTCATTGCGTGAACCTCCACGCACGTGCTTTCCCACTGAGACGCCCCTTGTGCCCACACTCACTTGCATCAACAACCCACTCACTTTCTTTCACTCCCCACTCACCGTGCGCCCGTGTGCGGGGCATGGGGGGAGCAGAGGCGCATGGAAGGGGTGGTGGGGGCGCTGGTGGGCGAGGTGCGCAACAAGACGGCATTCCTCAGCCTGCTGCGAGCCGTGCGCGCTCAGACCGCCATCGTCGCCAAGCTCGGCACGCGCATCGCCAGCCTCGAGACGCGCGTGCTGCCGCCCACCTCCCTTGCCGGCGCCGCCCTCGCCACCGGCGACGCCACCGCCCTTGCTGCCTCTGCCGCTGGCGCGGGCGGGGCGGGTGGAGGAGTGGGGGCGGGCGAGGCGTCGGTGGTGGTGGCGGCGGTGACGGAGACGCAGACGGGCATGGCGGTGGTGGTGAGGGAGGTGCAGCGGCAGAGCGAGGCGGTGGCGGAGCTGCAGGGCATGCTGGAGGCGAGCAGAGGGGCGGACATGCTGCAGCTGGCGCACAAGACGCACGAGGCGCTGCACGACCTCGTGCTCGCCGTCAGGCAGCAGGGCAAGCTGCTCGTCTCCATGGATAACCGCCTGGCTCACATTGAGGGCCACGTGGGGGGCGAGGGTGGCGGCGGCGCGGGGCAGGCGGATGGCGACGTGGCGCGGCTGGAGCGGGCCGTGGCGGCCGAGGCGGAGGGCGGAGGGGACGTGCTGAAGGCGGCTGAGGAGGTGATCGGTGGCATGGCGGGCGCACAGGCGCAGGGCGGGGAGCAACCGCAGGAGGGGCAGGGCGAACAACAAGGGGGGCAGCAGGAGGGGCAGCAGGAGGGGCAGGGGGAGCAGGGGGAGCAGCAAGAGCAGGGGCAGCATGAAGGGGAGCAAACGAGAAATGGAGATCTGGCAGGTGAGGTGGTGGTGGTGGGCACACCATTTGGGCGGTGTGGCATAGTGGAGTTGTGCTTGTTGTGCTGAACAAGCACACGTCCATCTGCTGGCCCACATGCCACCACATCTTACGGCCGGGCTGGACCTTGCCGGGCTGGACCTTGCACGTGCTCGTCTCATTCTATGTGTCCCCCTTGCGTCTCGCCTTGACTGCCGCTGCTCATTCTCTGCTGCCGTTGCTCTTTCCCCATGCAATGCACATGTCACTGCTGCCGCAGCTTGGCCTTGTGGATCTTGGTGCTGCACAGTATTCACCCTCTCCTCTGCATCAGAATGTCACCATGCTCCATGTCAATACGCATGACCACTAACGCAAACGAGCCATGACCACTGCGTGGCAAAGCCATGGGGATGGGGGAGAAGGAGGAGAGTAAGCTGCGAGTGCGCCTCCACACATGCAAGGACCTTTGGCGCGGATTGTTTCTCTTTTTTCGAAGAATAATTCTCTGCTGGGAGGCGCCCACGCGTGTCAGTTGATGGCCGTGCGTGTCAGTTGATGGCCGTGCGTGTCAGTTGATGGCCGTGCGTGTCAGTTGATGGCCGTGCGTGTCAGTTGATGGCCGTGCGTGTCAGTTGATGGCCGTGCGTGTCAGTTGATGGCCGTGCGTGTCAGTTGATGGCCGTGCCTGTCAGTTGATGGCCGTGCGTGTCAGTTGATGGCCGTGCGTGTCAGTTGATGGCCGTGCGTGTCAGTTGATGGCCGTGCGTGTCAGTTGATGGCCGTGCGTGTCAGTTGATGGCCGTGCGTGTCAGTTGATGGCCGTGCGTGTCAGTTGATGGCCGTGCGTGTCAGTTGATGGCCGTGCGTGTCAGTTGATGGCCGTGCGTGTCAGTTGATGGCCGTGCGTGTCAGTTGATGGCCGTGCGTGTCAGTTGATGGCCGTGCCTGTCAGTTGATGGCCGTGCGTGTCAGTTGATGGCCGTGCGTGTCAGTTGATGGCCGTGCGTGTCAGTTGATGGCCGTGCGTGTCAGTTGATGGCCGTGCGTGTCAGTTGATGGCCGTGCGTGTCAGTTGATGGCCGTGCGTGTCAGTTGATGGCCGTGCGTGTCAGTTGATGGCCGTGCGTGTCAGTTGATGGCCGTGCGTGTCAGTTGATGGCCGTGCGTGTCAGTTGATGGCCGTGCGTGTCAGTTGATGGCCGTGCGTGTCAGTTGATGGCCGTGCTGTCAGTTGATGGCCGTGCCTGTCAGTTGATGGCCGTGCGTGTCAGTTGATGGCCGTGCGTGTCAGTTGATGGCCGTGCGTGTCAGTTGATGGCCGTGCGTGTCAGTTGATGGCCGTGCGTGTCAGTTGATGGCCGTGCGTGTCAGTTGATGGCCGTGCGTGTCAGTTGATGGCCGTGCGTGTCAGTTGATGGCCGTGCGTGTCAGTTGATGGCCGTGCCTGTCAGTTGATGGCCGTGCGTGTCAGTTGATGGCCGTGCGTGTCAGTTGATGGCCGTGCGTGTCAGTTGATGGCCGTGCGTGTCAGTTGATGGCCGTGCGTGTCAGTTGATGGCCGTGCGTGTCAGTTGATGGCCGTGCCTGTCAGTTGATGGCCGTGCGTGTCAGTTGATGGCCGTGTCAATGGCGGCGGCGGGTGGTGGAGGCGAGCGTGGTGGGCTTGGCATGAGGCGGCCTGCTGTCATGGACCCTCGGAGTGACTCCACCATGTCACGAGTCCAGCCCTCTTGCAGAATTGTCGACTGGAACTGGTGCTCATTCGTGCGCACAACTGGTGCTCATTCGTGCGCACAACTGGTGCTCATTCGTGCGCACAACTGGTGCTCATTCGTGCGCACAACTGGTGCTCATTCGTGCGCACAACTGGTGCTCATTCGTGCGCACAACTGGTGCTCATTCGTGCGCACAACTGGTGCTCATTCGTGCGCACAACCGGTGCTCATTCGTGCGCACAACTGGTGCTCATTCGTGCGCACAACTGGTGCTCATTCGTGCGCACAACTGGTGCTCATTCGTGCGCACAACTGGTGCTCATTCGTGCGCACAACTGGTGCTCATTCGTGCGCACAACCGGTGCTCATTCGTGCGCACAACTGGTGCTCATTCGTGCGCACAACTGGTGCTCATTCGTGCGCACAACTGGTGCTCATTCGTGCGCACAACTGGTGCTCATTCGTGCGCACAACTGGTGCTCATTCGTGCGCACAACTGGTGCTCATTCGTGCGCACACACGTCCCACACGTGCTTGCTCACTTAACACCACCATCCATCCCTCTTCCTACCCACCTCTACCACCCGCTTCCTCCCTCTTTCTCTACTCGCCCCCTCTCTCCCCATCAGACGCCAGCAAGTGGTCACAGCATGCCTTTGCCGGCTCGCCCTCCTTCACTCGCTTCAGGTGAACCCCCACCCGCCCCACCCGAGGCCAGCCATGGCCCTCTGATTCATCACATGTGCAACCAAGAGTTCGCACTGTGCATCACCGCACCGTGCATCACCGCACCGTGCATCACCGCACCGTCCATCACCGCACCGTGCATCACTGCACCGTGCATCACCGCACCGTGCATCACCGCACCGTGCATCACTGCACCGCGCATCACTGCACCGCGCATCACTGCACCGCACATCACTGCACCGCGCATCACTGCACCGCGCATCACTGCACCGCGCATCACTGCACCGCGCATCACGCTCCTCCCTCCCCGTGCATTTGTTCCCGTGGACCTCCTCCAAACCCCGCCTTCTCTTCCCGCCTCACCTGCCTGTGTGCGTCCCGCGGTGTGCGGCCCATCCCGTGGTGTGGCAGTGGGTACCGCATGGGGGCGCGCAAGCTGGCAGCGGTGGGGTTTGGCCCCACCGACCTGCAGCACACTCGCTCCGTGGCCAACTGCAGGTGAGCAAGGGGGCGTACGCATGTGGCTGCCGCATTGCCTGCCACAAACACACCACTCGCACTATCTGCCTTGTCAGTCTGTGCTCATTTGCACTCCTCTTGATCGGGCTGTTTCACACAGGACGCGTGAGCTCACATGTCCCTCTTTCCTCTTCTTTCCCATGAACCTTCCTCTCACCCCCAACCCCCTTTCCTCAACCCCATCAGCTGGCGGGCATCTGACGCTGTGCTGCCGTGCACGGCGGGCATCACCTACTCGCTGTCTGCCAACCCGGGGCACAACCAGGAGATGCTCGTCACCGCGTCCTTTGACGCCGATGTGCCCAACACCGGGGGCCACCTCACAGTTGCCATCGACGACCACCCCTTTGTGCTGTACAGGTAGACCATGTGAGAAACTCAAGTGTTGGTTTGATTAGAAAGATGGTGGGTACATATAAGAGATAAGAAGGTTGGGTACCCGCGACATTATTGGTGAGCCAATGGGAGTGGCCACCAATAATGTTTTGGAGGAGGCTGCCAATTATTGGGGGGGCCTGGTTCCCCCCGCCAATTGCGGCAGAGTGGGGTTGGGACGCCCCCAACCAAAACTGGTTGGGGCGCCTTGGCCCAAAGTTTACAACCCAACTGATGCTATAATCTAACAGACCACCCCTTTGTGCTGTACAGGTAGACCACCCCTCTGTGCTGTACAGGTAGACCACCCCTTTGTGCTGTACAGGTAGACCACCCCTTTGTGCTGTACAGGTAGACCACCCCTTTGTGTGTGATGTGCAGTGCAGGTTGGTTGGAGCACGATTGAGAGATTTCAAACTGAACAGGTTGAGTGAGTAAATTTGAGCAACACCCAACACCCAAACTGAGTCAAAGAGGTGAACTACTTGACCAGGATGGTGAGTTGAGCGTGCAACTAAATGAAGCTCTACAAGGTAAAAAGGTGGACATGCTTTGTCGGGCTTGAGTGCTTCGAGTCCAACTGCAGCGTGTTTGACTCGAAACAGGAATGGTTCGGTTCACAGCAACATCTGGTCGGTTTAGCATATTCACACTCAAAGCAACGTAGACGCAAGGAAAACGCGCACATATCGTAGCAATTTGCAATAATGCCCAACTTGAATGGTCACACAGGACGTGAAGTGAACGTTTGCATCACAACCCGCCTCCCCCTCCCCACCTTCTATGCCTTGGTCTGTTGATGGCGCCCAAAAACCCAACTCATCTCCGATCCCTTTGTTCGCCTTTCGTTTGCCTTTCAAAGAGAACTTTCTCACCCGCTTCTCTTTCAAAGAGAACTTTCTCACCCGCTTCTCTTTCAAAGAGAACTTTCTCACCCGCTTCTCTTTCAAAGAGAACTTTCTCACCCGCTTCTCTTTCAAAGAGAACTTTCTCACCCGCTTCTCTTTCAAAGAGAACTTTCTCCCCCGCTTCTCTTTCGAAGAGAACTTTCTCACCCGCTTCTCTTTCGAAGAGAACTTTCTCACCCGCTTCTCTTTCGAAGAGAACTTTCTCACCCGCTTCTCTTTCGAAGAGAACTTTCTCACCCGCTTCTCTTTCGAAGAGAACTTTCTCACCCGCTTCTCTTTCGAAGAGAACTTTCTCACCCGCTTCTCTTATACCTGGCCCCCTTGTGCTGAATAGTCTGCTCAACCTGCTGGTTTGCCGTTCAAACTTGGGAAACTTGTTGGTCGGCGAAGCATTCAACAGGTTTCTATGGCAAATGGCACATGTTCATCCATCAGCGCTGTCACCTCATTTAGGCTACCAAAGAGCAGTGGACGCTGATGGGGTCTTGGAGTCATTGCAACTCAATCCAAGCCGCCTCACTGCAAGGCCCCTCCACTGCGCTAAGCCGCATCTGCGATGCCTTGTCCCATGTGCCAAGGTTGAGTCGAGCCAAGGCTCAAGGAGGTGATGCTTCCTATCTGCTGGTTATTCAACCCTTAACGTGTTAAAGCGGTGCATGCAGTTGCAAGTTGCCACTGAGTGTGTATTTACGTCTAGTACATGTGCTTATCATGTGGGCATGCAAGGGTGGGTGTGATGGTTCAATCATCCCCTTGCATCTCCCCTGCACTCCCTCCTCTTCCGTACGCACCGCTGCCCCCCTCCCTTGCGTGACACACAGTGAGCGTCCCAACGAGCACGAGGCACTGGACCCACCCGCCTCGGACTTGCCCGTGGAGGTGCTCGTGTGCGCGCTGCCGCCCGACCCCGCCCACCCCGTTCCGCTGCACTCCCTGCACGAGTTCCTCGAGTTCTACCGCCTCTCCGGGGCGGCACGGGTTGTCCTGTATGACAACGGGGCGTGGCAGGAGGGTGGCATGGCGGAGCAGGTGGCGGGGCAGGTGGAGCGAGGCGAGGTGGTGGTGGTGCCGTTCCATGGCAGTCGCGACCACGAGCTGTACCGCCAGGGCAAGGTGAGAGCTGTACCGCCAGGGCAAGGTGAGAGCTGTACCGCCAGGGCAAGGTGAGAGGTGTACCGCCAGGGCAAGGTGAGAGCTGTACCGCCAGGGCAAGGTGAGAGGTGTACCGCCAGGGCAAGGTGAGAGCTGTACCGCCAGGGCAAGGTGAGAGCTGTACCGCCAGGGCAAGGTGAGAGCTGTACCGCCAGGGCAAGGTGAGAGCTGTACCGCCAGGGCAAGGTGAGAGCTGTACCGCCAGGGCAAGGTGAGAGCTGTACCGCCAGGGCAAGGTGAGAGGTGTACCGCCAGGGCAAGGTGAGAGGTGTACCGCCAGGGCAAGGTGAGAGCTGTACCGCCAGGGCAAGGTGAGAGGTGTACCGCCAGGGCAAGGTGAGAGCTGTACCGCCAGGGCAAGGTGAGAGCTGTACCGCCAGGGCAAGGTGAGAGCTGTACCGCCAGGGCAAGGTGAGAGCTGTACCGCCAGGGCAAGGTGAGAGCTGTACCGCCAGGGCAAGGTGAGAGCTGTACCGCCAGGGCAAGGTGAGAGCTGTACCGCCAGGGCAAGGTGAGAGCTGTACCGCCAGGGCAAGGTGAGAGCTGTACCGCCAAGGCAAGGTGAGAGCTGTACCGCCAGGGCAAGGTGAGAGCTGTACCGCCAGGGCAAGGTGAGAGGTGTACCGCCAGGGCAAGGTGAGAGCTGTACCGCCAGGGCAAGGTGAGAGCTGTACCGCCAGGGCAAGGTGAGAGCTGTACCGCCAGGGCAAGGTGAGAGCTGCACCGCCAGGGCAAGGTGAGAGGTGCACGCCCGCATCCCGCCATGAGCTCAACTCACATCTGCCTCTCTTTTTCCACTCCACCGCCTTCTCTTTTCAATCTTCCTCTGCTGCCCCTGTGAGCGAGCATGGCAGGCATTGGCGGCGCAGGACTGTGCATGGGGGGCGGGGTACACGGCGAGGTGGGTGGTGCCGGCGGAGCTCAACGAGTTCCTCTTCACCGGCTCGCCCCCCGCCGCCCTGCCCACCTTCCTGCGCGCGCACGACGCAGCAGCGGTGGTGACGGTGGGGTCGCTGTGGTGGTCCAGCGCCAAGTGCTCGCTGGACTTTGGAGCGGGCGAGCAGGGTGGGGGCAAGTTCTGGGTGGAGCGCATGGTGTACCGCTGGCCGTGGCCCGTGTGCCACGACACCACCGCCTTCCCCGACGCCAACCTGTGCCTCGGCGAGACCGGCTACCGCAAACCCATCGTCGACCCCCGCAAGGTCTGCCACACTGTGCATCGACCCAGGTGATTGGCGGGCACAGATGTGGTGGGCGGCACATGCACATGGGGGGCGGTGGGATGGCATAGTCGGCCAGGGATGAAGGGAGGTGGGCGCAGCGCATCAAGACTCGAGCGCACTTGCACACGCGCGTTGTCCATCAACTGCCATCCCCATTCACTCTAACATGCAACGCACATGTGAGCACGTGTAGAGTGGCGGCCCACCATCGCCCTCCTCCACCACCACTGTGCACACCCCACACCTGCAAAGCGCACGCCTCACCATCTCATGTGCCCTGTCTGTGCCAATCCCGGTGCGCCAGGTGGAGGCGCTGGGGGCGTTTGAGGCACGGGCGGGGGGAGGGGAGGGCATGGCGGTGGATGTGCGCACGGAGGAGGCGGTGTACAACCACGTGCAGGACCTCTTCTCCGCCCCCTCCTCCTCCTGGTGCTCCGAGCTCTTCAATGACGACCAGGTGCGCTGCGCCCTCCCACCACCACCACGCCACGTGGAGCGAAAGGAGGAGTGAGGGTTGGTGGTGGTGTTGCTGCAAGGGAGTGTGTGTGAAGTGACTGTCTTCTCCATATCCACGTCCACTCCTAATCGCCCACTCCACTATCTCCTCCTCTTGCTAACTCTGCCTAAGCCGCTATCCCCCTGCCGTGCCGCTATCGCCCTTCCTTACCCCACTGTGCACCGTGCCGTGGTGGCAGGGCCCCGAGTGGTGGGTGAGAGACACCTTCCTGCGCGACTACGCCCAGTCACTCAGGGCGGGCCGCATGTGTGACTTTGAGAAAGGCCAGGTGCGTGCGTGGAGGGGGGAAAGGAATGGTTCTGCTGCTCTCACTGTCGCTGCTGCTTCTCAATCACCATTCCATGCCTTCTTCCCTATCATGTGCCACCGTACATGCTTGCCGTTTCTCATCCCTCTCATCCCCCATCCCTCTCATCCCCCATCCCTCTCATCCCCCATCCCTCTCATCCCCCATCCCTCTCATCCCCCATCCCTCTCATCCCCCATCCCTCTCATCCCCCACCCTTGTCATCTCCCACCCTTGTCATCTCCCACCCTTGTCATCTCCCACCCTTGTCATCTCCCACCCTTGTCATCTCCCGCCCTTGTCATCTCCCACCCTTGTCATCTCCCATCCTTGTCATCTCCCATCCTTGTCATCTCCCACCCTTGTCATCTCCCACCCTTGTCATCTCCCACCCTTGTCATCTCCCACCCTTGTCATCTCCCATCCTTGTCATCTCCCACCCTTGTCATCTCCCATCCTTGTCTCCAACCTTTTGCCCCACGCCCTCTCCTTATCCAGCAATCATTCTCCCACCAACTCATCTAAATCCTTCTCCACCTATCCCTTGTCTACCGTGCGCCTCTTCCAGTGCGAGCCGCTGTCCCAACAATGAACCATCGGGTTGATGGATTAACACGCGCAACAAGTGACCCACGGTCCTTCTCGCATATCAACCCGTGAGTTGCCGCAACAGATGCACTTGCCTCATGCGGTACAGTGTTCTTATTGACTGGTGGAAGCTGTGGTAGTCCCCTCAAATTGCCGATACCGGTAGCCCTGTTTGAACCTACAGAGTCAAGCATGAGATAAGCGGCATCCACTCTTGCATGAAGAGAATCTTCACGATCATTGTCAGTGATCCAGGACATTTCGAAATGTAATAATTAGAAAGTGCGATGTGAAGTTTGGCTGGACATGCGGAAATGGTTCGTTGTGGCATGGGAAATCCTGATGAAGCATTTGATTAGTATCGAGGCGGATGTTCTGAGGCGGGGATATGGTGCGCTTTCTAGGTGGTTTTTCGGACCAACCACAAGCGTGAAAACGCAGAGCGGCGCCTCCACAATTGGCTTCTCATTCTCAAATTAGCCACGTGGCACCAATCGCTCACCTCCAGCGCCGCCCAGCATGTGCCCCACTTCTCAGCTCTGCCCTTGCTTCGGCCACGTCAGCCGTGATACTCCCGCCATTCCAGGGCGACGCCAGAGATTTTGCCTTCAAACGTTGTACCTTTCCCTCACCTACATGGTCCCGTTTCTCTCGCCCTTGACCTGCCTCACTCCCTACATAACCTCCCCCGCGCGGGCCTCTCAGAGACAGACATTCTGATCGCCGCGCGCACTTCGCCTCTCGCTGCTCCTCCCTCCCTCTGCGATGTCCCTCGCGGTAGCTCACGCCGCTGGGGCCTCCCCTTGCACCTCCGCGTTCTCCGCCGCCCGCACCCGGCCCTCAGCGCCACTCTCCTCCGCGCACCAACACACGTCGCGCCTCGCCGCCCTCCGCGTGACCCCCGCATTCTCGTCCTCCCCTTCGCGCGCCTCCCCCCAGATGTCCGCCTCCAACCCGCCCTCCGCGGCAGGCGGGGGAGCGGCGGCGCCGGCGGAGGGGAAGGAGCAGAAGCTGTGGGGGGGACGGTTCGAGGAGGCGGTGACGCCGGCCGTGGAGCGGTTCGGGCAGTCGGTGTCGTACGACCAGAAGCTGTACCGCTTCGACATCCAGGGCAGCAAGGCGCACGCCGCCATGCTCGCGCAGCAGGTTAGCCGGAGCCGCAAGTGCTGCGCGATTTTGACCACCTCGATGATTAATCTGATAGATTGTGCGATCTAATCAACGAAACGTGTAACATAGTAACCATGGGTCCATATCCCCGTCGAATTCCAATGCTGCCGCTGTCACCCGTGAGCCTTCTTCCCCCTCCCCGCCTCCCCACCCCGCCTCCCCACCCCGCCTCCCCACCCCGCCTCCCCTCCCCGCCTCCCCTCGCCGCCTCCCCCTCTCGCTGCCGCCCCCGTGTCGCCTCCTCGCGCTGTGCTCGTCCTGCTCGCACGCCCTCCCGTGCCACGTGCCACATTCTGCCCCACCTGCGTCGCGTGCTGTGTCTCGCACCTCTCTCTGTCCAATCCCCCTTCCCTGCCCCCGCCCCCCACACTTCACCCCCCGCCTCTCTGTCCTCTCACTTCGCCGCGCCGCAGGGGCTGATGACGGCGGCGGAGCGCGACGCGATTGTGGGCGGGCTGGAGGAGATCGAGCGGCGCATCGAGGCGGGGTTGTTCGAGTGGCGCGCGGACCGCGAGGACGTGCACATGAACATCGAGGCGGCGCTCACGGACCTCGTGGGCGAGCCGGCCAAGAAGCTGCACACGGCGCGCAGCCGCAACGACCAGGTCTGCACGGACGTGCGCCTCTGGTGCCGCGACGCCATCGCGCAGCTGCTCGACCGCATCGCGCGCCTGCAGGCGGCGCTGGTGCGGCTGGCGGACGGCAACGCGGGGCTGGTGGTGCCCGGCTACACCCACCTGCAGCGCGCGCAGCCGCTGCTCCTCGCGCACGTGCTGCTCGCCTACGTCGAAATGGTGCGTAACGGGAGCACTTGTGCTGAGCAGTGACCTTGGCTCGCGCAGGACGAAGCCTGGCGCGCAGCGCAGCACCCGTGCACACCGTTTGCTCGCTTCTCTCATCTTCCTACCCCTCCCATCCTCAACCTCTCCCCTTCCTATTGTCCTGCGTTTTCGCCCCCCTCGCCTCTGTATTCCCCTGTACGTGTGTGGCGGGCGGCGTGTGCAGCTGGAGAGGGACGCGGGGCGCCTGAGGGACTGCGGGGAGCGCCTCAACTTCTCGCCGCTGGGGAGCTGCGCGCTGGCGGGCACGGGGCTGCCCATCGACCGCCACCTCACCGCCTCCGCGCTCGGCTTCTCCGCGCCTCTTCGCAACAGGTGCGCCCCTCCGCAACAGGTGCGCCCCTCCGCAACAGGTGCGCCCCTCCGCAACAGGTGTGCCCCTCCGCAACGCGTGCGTCTGCTGGGACGGGTAGGTGGGAGAATGAGAGGAAGAGGCAGCGGGGCTTAGGGGAGGGAGGGGGGAGGTGAGGGTAATAGGAATGCACCGGGAGGAGCAACAGCTGACGGTACGCATTGGCACAAAGAAGCGAAACGTGCAGGCAGTGCACAGGCGGATGCCAGGTGCACCACAGCGCATACAGCATGTGATGCAGTGTGGTGAGGTGGGTGCTGCCCCTGTGTACCGTGCTGTGTGTGGTGCTGTGGTGTGGCTTGTTCCACTCACCATGTCTCTCAGCCGTCCTCCACTGTGACCTCCTCTCACCATCTCTCACTCATGCGCCTCTTCCCCCCCCCCAAACCCCGCCCCCATGTGGCGTGGCATGGCATGCATGGTGCGGCACCCCACCAGTGTGGACGCGGTGTCGGATCGCGACTTCCTGATCGAGCTGCTGGCGGCCAACAGCATCATCGCCGTGCACCTCTCACGCCTGGCGGAGGAGTGGGTGCTCTGGGCGTCCGAGGAGTTTGGCTTCCTCACCCCGTCGGACCGAGTGTCGACGGGCAGCAGCATCATGCCGCAGAAGAAGAACCCCGACCCCATGGAGCTCGTCAGGGGCAAGGCGGCACGTGTGATCGGCGACCTGACGACGGTGCTGGTGCTGTGCAAGGGGCTGCCGCTGGCGTACAACCGCGACCTGCAGGAGGACAAGGAGCCGCTCTTCGACAGCACCGAGACCGTGCTCGCCTCGCTCGAGGTCACGGCCGAGTTTGCTGCCAACGTGACGTTCAACCGCCCGCGCATCGAGCAGTCGCTGCCTGCCGGCCACCTTGATGCCACCACGCTGGCGGACTACCTCGTGTACAAGGTGGGTGCTCTCACCTCACTCCTTGTGTCACGGCCAACCCACACTCGTGCCCGCCTGCAAGTTTAGCAACATGGGGCGTCACCAGCCCCCACCCTCAACCTGCACTGCTGATCCCCCTTGCCCCTCCCTCACAGGGCATGCCGTTCCGCACGTCGCACGACGTGGTGGGGCGGGCGGTGGCCATAGCGGTGGCGCGCGGAGTGGAGCTGAGTGCGCTGACGCTGGAGGAGCTGCGGGCCATCAACCCCATCTTTGAGGGCGACGTGTACTCGTTCCTGGGCGTGCACAACTCCATCACCAAGTTCACCTCCTTCGGCTCCACCGGCGCTGCCCGTGTGGACGAGCAGCTCAAGTTCTGGCGCGATAAGCTGCAGCTGTGACGGCCGTCACTAGGGTGGTGGCTGCGGCATCCAAGATGGTCACATCCAAGATATACGGGACTGCTTGTTACATGTTACATATATTCCAAACTAGGCAGAGAATCTAGCCTTTCGTTTTTGTGTTATTCAGGGGCTCCAAGATGCGGCCTTGCATGCTGATTTCACTACCTACTGTACTCGGTGTTCTGCTGTTAGCACCCCGAAATCATCAGCACTACACAATATGGGACTGAGCATTCGCAGTCGCGAACGTAGTGAGATGTGACACCCTGGATATTAGCACAGGGCTCGTATGCGCTTGTCAGAAAACAGAGTCTGATAGGCTCTCAGTTATCAGCGTAAACACTCTGATTTGGCTGATTTTGCAGCTGTTTTTTTTATTCAGTTTCCCTGAAATTTCAGCATCCTGCCAATATTAGCTCCGATTTTTCAGTTTACAGTTGCATTTTTACACTGACAAGTCAGTGTCATGTACCAGTGAAACTGATCGATCAGTATAGTTTAGGGGACCACACTGATTCGGGTACAGGTTGTCAAAACTGAATGTTTGTGTGTTATCTCTAGGCTATAGTGGGGTAGCCAACAAGGGGTATGAGCCATTAGGGTTAGTACTTGTACCCAACAGTCTCATACGAGTTCATTCATTCCTGCTCACTAGATTCTGACATGGTTTCAGAGCACGTAGGTCCCTAGGACCGAAAATATTTTTAGGGCCCACCGTTCGTTCTACCCTGCCCATTTTTCTGCCCTGCCCCTAACGATCGCGACCCGGCCGCTCGCTAGAGCCGCCCTGCCCCACACGTTCGCACCTGCCTTGTCTCGCGCGCTGGCCCATGTCGAAATAGTAGGCTAAAACGATAAACAGGAAAGAGGGGTTTTCACTAGCAGTAGTTGAGATACATACCGTATAGCCCCGGATATAAGCGCATATGCGCTTATAATAAAATCATTTTTTTAGGGGGTGGCGCTTGTAATTGAGTAACGGCCATAAGCGCCGGCGCTTATATAATGACAAAACAAAATTATATATTTAGAGCACCAAATTGTCTCATTTTCTTTTTGCCATTTCAACCGAGTCGATTTTTTTTGGCGTCACAAAGCAGAATCGCGCGCGAGCGTGTCAGAATGTTATTCTCTAGCCTGTAGTGGGGTGCTCTATAGCGAGTACAACCCATCTAGGGTTTGCTATACGTATCCTCATTGCTGCTAGTGAATTCCTCTTTTGCCTAAACTTCTCTTGCCTAGCTAGGACTTACCTAGCTATGGCTCCTAACTCTACCTACTATTTTCACATGCTATCAGAGCAGGTCGATCCCCTTGGGTCGATCCTGTGGGTGGGCTCACCACCTCACTGCTTCCGCTGCTACTGCCACTCTCTGTGTCGCACGCCCCGTGGCGTGCGACGGATTTTTCATCCCGCCGCGCGCTCGGAGCGTGCGGCGGTTTTCTGCCCGCCGTGCGCCCCGAGGCGCGCGGCGGTTTTCTGCCCGCCGTGCGCCCCGGGGCGTGCGGCGGTTCTCTGCCCGCCGTGCGCCCCGAGGCGCGCGGCGGCCTTCTGCCCCGTCGGTCCGCGCGTCGCCCCCGGGGGGCACTTCGACGGGCGACGGGGACCAGCCCGTCGTCCCCCGTCGCCCGTCCTGGCCAGCGCGGGCTGCGCCAGCCCCGAGCGCGGCCCGTACGGGCTGCGCCCGGCCCGCGCGCGGCCCGTACGGGCTGCGCCAGGCCCGCGCGCGGCCCGTACGGGCTGCGCCAGGCCCGCGCGCGGCTCGGGCCGCCTGCGCGCGGTTCGTCGGGCTGTGCCAGGCCCGTGGGCGGCCCGTTCCTCTCTGTCCCTGAGCTGCTCGCTGTCCCCCGTGCTTCTGACGGTGCCCCACCCCTACTGCTGCCCGTTCTCCTGAATTAGGGTTTGGGGGTGAGGAGTGTGGGGGTGGCGGTTGTGTGTTACTCTCCTTGCTCCTCCTCCTCCCTGGTCTCCCACTGCTGCAGCTGCCGCTGAGGGGGGTGGGTGTGTGGGAGCCTAGGGTTTAGGGTTTTAGGGGGGTGCGTGGGAGTGGAGCTAGGGTTTGAGCAGTGGGTGTGTGTCGAGGGTGTGGGGCAGTTGGAGGAGGTTGTGTGGAGGTACCTGTCGTGTCGCCTGCAGCGCCTGTAGTCCGTCGCCCTTGCTTCGGTAGCCAGTGAGCCTGCTGCACCAGTCGCCAGTGGGTCCGTTGCTCCTGCCGCTCTTCTATAGCCGCCGAGCCAGTTACTCCAGTAGTCCGTCGCCCTTGCTTCGGTAGCCTCTGAGTCAGCCGCTCCTGTGCCCGTGCCTCTGCAGCTTCAGTCGTTGCCTCCCATCTTCTCTACCTCCACAGCTCCTCCTCCTCCTCACTTGCTCGCTGTGATTAGCTCTAGCTTTGCTTACCTTTGTGAACTCCTGCTCTATACCTGCTTGCTCATTGTACTGATTACACCCCACTTTGGCTATGGGGGTGTGTCAGAATGTTATTCTCTAGCCTGTAGTGGGGTGCTCTATAGCGAGTACAACCCATCTAGGGTTTGCTATATGTATCCTCATTGCTGCTAGTGAATTCCTCTTTTGCCTAAACTTCTCTTGCCTAGCTAGGACTTACCTAGCTATGGCTCCTAACTCTACCTACTATTTTCACAGAGCGATATTCTGCCAGCACACAGAGCAAAACACACGTCATGCCAGCACATCCTGACTGGACGCGCAGCCAGTCAGGTCTTCGAGAGTCAAACGAAGCGAAATTGAAATATGACTCGCTGCAAAAATGAATCTCGTTAATGTTCAAAGCAATATTTTAAATTTAAATTACACATGCGCTTATAATAAGTAAAGCATTTTTAGGGGGGGCGCAAAAAAAAAAAATCAGTGTGTACCTACACTGATTTTTCAGTGTTGAGATATTTGTGACACTGATTTTTTCAGCCTTTACTACATAGCTAACACTGATGTTTCAGACTTTTATCGAAGTGTACACTGAATGCACATTCCGAATCCTTCCCGAAAACACCCGAGAGATTCAGTCAACAAACATTTCCACGTCATAAATTCTGATTAAGTAATACACTGACAGCTGACAGTATGAAATGTCCCAGTGGTTAGCGAAATTGGTACAGAATGGTAAGGTTTCCGGCTCGAATCTTCGGCTGTCATGTTCCGTAAAGGATTCCCTCTTATACAGATGCAAAGCGTGATAAAAAAATTCAGGCTTTTATTTTTAGGAACCCAGAAAATTCAGGCTTCTATTTTTAGGAACCCTGAAAATTCAGGCTTTTTTTCACAGGGACCCTGATGCATCAACGTCCCTAAAAGTGAATCTGAGGGCCTGATAGGAAACCCTAATTGGGTTGTACTCGCTATAGAGTACCCCACTGCAGGCTAGACTAGCATCACATTCTGACACACCCCCATAGTCAAAGTGGGGTACAATCAACACAACAAGCAGGCAGTGCAATAGTTCACAAGGATAAGCAAAGCTAGAGGCTATCACAGAGGGCAAGTGAGGAGGAGGAGAAACTGTGGAGGGCGAGAAGATGAGAGGCGACGGCTGAAGCTGTAGACACACGGGCAACAGGAGTGCGCAGTACTGACGCTACCAGGCTAAACCCGGGCTACACGGCGACAGGCGCGGCTGGCTCACTGTGCTCCCAGGAGTGCTCACACTGTGGTTACCGGGCGCAGGGCCCTGGAATAAACGACCACATGGGGTCGTGGCTCTCTGGACTACCAGGAATGCTCACACTGTGGCTACCGGGCGCAGAGCCCCGGACTACTCAGGCTACAGGGGGTCGTGGCTCTCTGGACTTCAGGCGCTGCGGACGACAAGTTGGCTACCTCCGGTCAACCTCCCCCCACTGTCCCACACCCCTTTCACACACTCCCTGCTGTACCTCTAGCACTGCTCACACGCCACCCCCCTCGTACCACTCCGACGGCTCCAACACATCCACCCCCCTCAGCGGCAGCTGCAGCAGTGGGAGACGGAGGAGGAGGAGGAGCAGGGGACGGCTCACACACCCGGCACCCCCATAATCTCCACCCCCAAACCCTAACACAGGAGCGCGGGCAGCAGCCAGCGCGCCCTGCTGCCCTGCGCCCCGCGTGTGCCCTGCTGCCCACGCGCCCTGCGCGCCATGCTGCCCAGTGCCCCGCGCGCCATGCTGCCCGCGCGCTCTGCGTGCCCTGCATCCCGCGCCCGCCTGCTGCCCGCGCGCCCTGCAGCCCGCGTCGCCTGCTGCCCGCGCGCACCCTGCTGCCAGCGCGCACTGCTGCCCCGCGCCCCGCGCGCCCTGCTGCCCACGCGCCCTACGCACCTTGCTGCCCCGCGCCCCGCACTCTCTGCTGCCCGCGCGCTGCCCTAGCAACTACTGCCGCTACACCTGTCACTGCACTTGCCTCTGCTGTCGCTACAGGCTCCCGCTACCGCTACGACTGCCACTGCAGCCCTTGCGCCGCTGGTGCTGATTGCCGCTGCCCGTCATGGCCACGCCACCGGTCTTAGCGATTGACGCAGACGGACGCCCTTACAAGTTAGTGTTAGAATATGAGAATGAAAAACAATGAACAAAACAGGAAAGATACATGCAAGGCTAACCCTAACCCTAGCACAACGGAATACACCTAGACTAGAACTAACATAACTATAGAAATATAGTTTGACACACCCCCATAGTCTAGTTGACGGTAGTCCTGTGGAGAGCGACACACAACCCAAGAGCAAGGGTCACAGGACCAGTTCACAAGAACAAAACAACTCTCGGGGTGGATCTCAAGATCACCACACAGTCCGAGAACAAGCAAGGGGCCACAAGGCCAGTCCACATGCAAGTATACAGCAGATATATGAGATGCAAGAGTACAAACATGCATGACAAGCATCTCTACACAAGCAAATGAGGGCCTGTAGACACAAGGCCTAGCTGGGTGCAGAAGCGCTGGTGGGCACAATGCGGCAACGCCTTGGTGAAGATATCTGCAGTGTTGGCCTCAGAGACCA